AATACTTTCCGTACCCACTGTGTATATATATATATATATATATATATATATATATATATTTAAATAATAAAAATTTTTTTTGTTATTGAATACATTTGGGCAAAATCTCGTGATATAAAACATGAAGCGTAATGCACAGGATATGTGAAACCGTATATTATTTACACACGGCAAATGCTAAGACGCTTCTCCGCTCTTGAAACACACAAAAAAACATTCGCCTTTATAGACATGGTGTTTCTTGAGTAGAAAATGCTGTACTTATTTAAACATCAGTTCTTTATTTACCCTTGTATCGTGAACAAGCAGAGATCTGTCTCCAGATTGCACACGGCACTTAATTTTGAATGGAGGCGGGTGGAATTATGAGGTTTTGCTGACTGTTTGAGGATCCAATGGCGTTACGAGGTTTAGTCTCAAGCTCTTTTGAATGCTTTTCGTTGGTTAAATATTTGTAAAAACCCACAAACAGATGTAAAGATGACCAATAGCATTGATTTAAAATACTAATAATAATGAAATATAATAGAAATAGAAAGTTTTGATAATTTTCCACGGCACACCTGACAACCTGTCACGGCTTACTAGTGTGCACAGTGGTTGGGAAACACTGCTTATACATTAACGTTATACATGTGTTTTTTACTTTTGCAGCCTACAGCTAATTCACAAGTGGCACCAGTCTGTTTTGGGCTATGCCTGTTTTTGATCTTTTCCTGCCGCCTGAGTAAAGTAAGATTAAATATCATTTTAAACTTGATTTAGCTGGCTATTTTTTCTAATACTGACAATGGTCCACAAAGGCAGCTTGTCTTAGTCAAAGTATAGTCCCATTTCATAACTCTCTTTTACACTTTGGAGAATTTTCGACTGACATACCGGATAGCACTGATGAACTATCACATGATCTTAGCTTTAAAAGCTAAAGGTATTGGATAAATAGTATAAACTACATGTGTGTTACAACGATTACTATGTATTGGATTTAATTCAGTATGTCATCGCGCTACAGGTTGCAGTCAGGACATCTTGAAATTTGGACTGAGCCAGGCAAGCTGTTTCTGCTTATTTCCAGACTTTACATTAAACTAACCAGCTTCTGGCTGTAGCTTTATGTTTACTGTTTAGACTTGAGAGATCTTCTAATAAATCTTGGTAAGAATGAGCAAATAAGCACATTCCCTAAAATGTTAAACTTCTTCAAATTTCAGTTGGTACACTTTTGTTTTAAAGGGTAGTGGTTGTCAAAGGGTAGTGGTTAAGTCAACACCCAATACTTATTCCTTATTTTAATCTGTCTGTCCCATTGTCGTCCCAAGATCATCATATTCAGCCAGATTCAGTCAGTATCCAGACCAGATGGTGGACCTGCACCCTGAGATGACCACAACGCAACCCTGAATGTCAGCAAAGACCACAACAATTGAACATCACAAATTGACAGCCATCAGCACAGATCCTCAGCAAAGATCACGAGAACCACTATCTCTATACAGACCCCTATGGCCAGCAATGAACAGGTCAAGCCAGGAGCTGCTAGAACCACAATTCAGTTTTATCATGCTTACAGTCACTGCTAAGTCAGTCTTCCACTACTGGCTAAACGGCGGCCCTGCTGGACAGACTACAACTTCTCCTCCCACCAAATGCTGGCATGACATATCTCTCATATATCTTCAAGCAGGAGGAGCTGAATGAAAAAATCTTAATGACATCAGTCCACAATCTGACTAGCGATGCAGCCTGAAATCATAATCACACCATCTTTGTTCATTTGGCCAGAGGACAGCTGAGCCGACTGTGCCTGGATTCTCCCAAGGTTTTTTTTCTTCTTCCCCTATTTCAGTTACCTGGTGGAGTTTGGGTTCCACTGTCACCTCTGGCATGCTTTGTTGGGATTTAAAAGACACTAAATATTCAGTAATACTAAATAAAACTAAATTGATGACATCACTGTTTTCTCCAGAGCTGCTTTATTGCTGAATGAACTTTGTGGCATATGAATTTTGCAACATTTTCACTGATATTGAGCTGCATTAAAGGGTTAGTTCACCCAAAAATGAAAATTAGACTGTTTTACTCACCCTCGAGGCTGTCACAAATTCAGCCTCTGTGGCTCCCTCTGATCACCACCAGAGGGAACCAAGTACTGAGCTATCCCTTCGGACTCCAGTTCCCACAATGCCCCATGCCAGAGACTAATCACCTGCACAGGTGTTTCCTATTGCCCGGTCTATTTAAACTGTGCCTTCCCTGCTCTCATTGCGAAGTCTTGTTTTGCCTTGCAGACATTTCTGAGCGTTTTCCCTGTGTTGAATATCTGTTGATTACCTGGACTGTTTACCCGTTTACGATTGCTTGCTGCCTACCTATTCTGACCCTGCCTGCCTTGTTGATTCATGCCATTGTTTGTCTGCCGCCTGCCTCGACCCTGATTACGAACACTGTTTACGATTCTGCCCAGCCTTCATTGTGTCTGACGCCAGTTTACGATTTATGCCTGTATGACCTGCCTTGTGAGCTAATAAAGCTGCACATGGATCCTAACGCCATTGCCTCTTTGTTACAGAGGCATCCTAGGTGTATATTAATTTCTTCTTTCAGACGAATCCAATAAAGGCCTCCTGTAGTGAATCCATGCATTTTTGTAAGAAAAATATCCATATTTCAAACGTAATAAACAATTTTCTCTCACTTTCGTTATCTGTCATACGCGGAAGTCGTTCCGGCGGATGACGCAGCACGTCTGTGCAGCGCGTGCCTCTGAGATATGCTAGTCTCGCGAGTTTGTTTATAGGAGCAAAAGGAAGCGGTTTCCTTACTTTAGCAAAGGAAAACCAGTCTCCTCTTGGTTTATATCGAAATCCTCCGACATTTTTCTTTGCAAATCCTCGGTTTGTACTTCTAATTCATAACCAGCGTTTTGTTTTGTTCTCTCTCCGCGTTCGTCACTAATCACGCAATGCCGACATCTTACGTCATCCGCGGGAACGGCTTCCGCGTATGACAGATAACGGAAGAGAAAAGTGTTTATTACTTTCGAAATATGGATTTTTTTTAACAAAACTGCATGGATTCACTACAGGAGGTCTTTATTCACCCCAAACCCCCCCCACCCCCCCGGAGCGGTGTGAGGCACGTTTATTATGGATGCGCGCGCTTTATTTGACGGATGTTTGAATCACTTGTAAATAAACTGCACTTGGGTTCTTCACTACGCTCGCCTTCAGTGGACTAACTCGTTACAGAATACACGACCCTAAAAATGAACCCAGCAGATCGTCTTGTTCGCCTTTGCCAAGGAAACCGGGCCATAGAGAATTACGTGGAGGACTTTTGTGGACTTTATCACCATGTAGATTTTAATGTAACATTCCTTAAGGACATTTTTCGTTATGGTTTGGGAAACAATTTATCTCGTTTAATGCCACGCAATACCCCTCAATGGACTCTTGAAAAATACATAGACTTTGCTCTGCAGTTGAGTGGATCTGCTTTCACTGTGGGTGTCATGGAGAAGGAACATGACACTTCCCAAAAGTCTGCTCACGTCATGCCTGCCAAGCCACAGCCTGCTAACGTCACGTCTACTACACCAAAGCCTGCTAACGTCTCGT